CACTGGAACTACATTTGCCAACCACGTGGTGTACTGGACTACCCGAATTACTCCCGTTTTCAGTTGCTTGGTGATTACTTCTTTAATCTTGTCACTGACGTCAGTCTTGAACTTTCTTTGCTTTTGTTGAACTGGAGGACAATCAGGGTGGATTGGCAATTTATGCACCACTAGATCAATGCCTAATCCCGACATATCATCGTTTGACCAAGCAAACACATCTTTGAGTTCAAGAAGGAGTTAAATTATAGCGTCTCGCGTTCTCTCATCCGTGTGAATGCTTATTTTGGTCTCTCGGATTTCCTCAGGAGTTCCCAAATTAACCGGTTCGGTGTCATTAAGATTCGGCTTAGGTTTGTTCTCAAAGTGTTCCAATTCTCGATTTATTTCCTTAAAAGCCTCTTCTTCATCGTATTCCATTTCTTGGTTCATTATTTCGCAGCTAGACTGCATGTTTAGATCTGGGCATGAAGTCCGCAAGCATGTCATGTTATTTAAAATCGCATTATTAGAACTGAAAGAAATAAAACAAAAATAAAAAGAATCAGAGAGAATAAATAAGATGAAAGATGAAATATTAATCTCATTTCATTGAATTTTGAAGATAATAGGGTTTACAATTAGAATTTAAGGACAGGAAACTAAAAGAAAATCATTCGAGCTACACCCCAAAATAACTCGTAATGCAGAAAAGGTGGCAAGACCGGTCTACCAGGATTCCCGCTTGATTGGAAACGGAGTGGCCTTCCAGTTTTGCAATTTGGCGACAGGCCCCATGTAAAGCACCTCAGCGGTGCTCGCGCCTTCTCCCGGCTGAACCATATGGGTTTCGTACAGCATTTGCCTCATAACCCCACAGATTTCTTCAATTTCCTCGGTCGTGAAGGTCTCATCCTCTCTTTCTTCAATGTATTTGGGTCTGACGAATATTCTGTAAAGATGCGGAATTGGCTGAGATAAAACCCAACCATTGCTCTTACGTTGGTTTGCCCATATTACATCAGCTTCTTCGGCGTAAAACCCAACGTCGAAGAACTTTTCGGCGGCAGGTAAAGCGATAGGTTCGGTAATACCTTGCAATGATGCCCCGAGTCCCTTCCCCGGTTTATAACCATGCCTGATCATTTCCTTGGAAACCATAACTGACGCCTTTGAGAGAAAAGTTTGAGGGTGCGGGCTTCCTTCTTCGCATTGGTCTGCGACCACAACCTCGAAAGCTTGATAGACTATGTGTTCACTACAATCCTTAGCTTCGAGGCACGGAACCGACGGGTCTCGATAAATTGAATGCTCATCCTCTCCATGGACTATAATCTCTTGATTTTCATATACAAATTTTACCATCTGGTGGAGAGTAGAAGGTACGGCTTCCACCGCATGAATCCAAGGCCTTCCTAGGAGGAAATTGTAGGAAGTATCCATATCCAAAACCTGAAAAGTCACCTCAAAATCTACAGGTCCGATTGTCAAAATCAAATCGATCTCGCCTAGGGTGTCCCTTTTGATGCCATCAAAGGCACGAACACATACGATGTTGGGTCTGATTCTTCCTGTCTCGATCTCCATTCTTTGCAGAGTCGAAAGGGGACAAATATCTACTTCGGACCCGCCATCCAGCACGACCCTCTTCACATAGTAGCCTTCACATTTAACTGTTAGGTGGAGGGCCTTGTTGTGGGCGGCCCCTTCTGGGGGCAGATCATTCTTGCTGAAGGAAATCTGATTGATCATGAAGAATCTTTCTGCCATCCTCTCTAGCTGTTCCACGGTAGTTTCAATTGGGACGTAAGCTTCGTTGAGGGTCTTAATCAACACTTTCTGATGCTCAGTTGAATTCATTAGTAGAGACAACAACGAGGCTTGAGCAGGAGACTTTCGGAGTTGGTCAATTATCTCGTAGTCCGCAGTTTTCATTTTCCTGAAAAACTCTTCCGCTTCCTCGGCGCTGACTGGTTTCTTGAGTGGAAAATGCCTCTTTGTAGAATCACTCAACTCCTCCAGGTTGAGATATTTCTCAGTTGGGTTAGTTTTATTTACTCCTCCCAGGATTTCTTTTCCTTTGTAGGTTACTACCTCTTTGTTATAATTCCATGGTACGGTAGTAGGATCTGTCATGGGCCTCTGCGGCGCGCGTCCAATAATCACGGGCTCATTCAGCCTTGGTGAAATTATTGGCCCTCGTTCCGCATAGGTCCCTTTGGGCACGTGCATTCTAGATCCTTTGTTCAGTTCGAACCTTCTTGGAGGGCTCAATGTCACTTGTCCTTTCTTCGATCCTCGGGGAACATAAAGGACGACATCTTTCGAGGGCACTACCTCAGTTTTGGTTTCCACTGCTTTTTCTGTGTTTTGAGGGGGGGTTTTACTCTTCTTGTCCCCCTTTTCTTGCTTTGCATATGTCTTGGGCTTTTTCTCAATGTCGGCGATTGCAATAATGGCTTTCAAGACAGGATCAAACTCTTTATCTTCGCAGATCATCCCAATAATCGGTTCATTGTTGTGAGCCGGTAACGGGTTGTTGGTCATATTAGGGATGTCTTCGTCCTTTAACACTATCCGGTTTTGTTCTATGAGGTTTTTAACAACCTTTTTCAAAGTCTAACAGCTCTCAGTGTCATGCCCTTCCACTCCAGAATGATAAGCACATCGGGCACCAGGTTGGTAAGAGGGTGACTCTGGGTTTTGCCTATTTGGGGGTACGGGTTGTAACAAACCCATTTGGACCAATTTAGGGAAGAGGTTGGAATATCACTCACCAATAGGTGTGAAGTCCATTTTCCTAGGCGGCTCTCGAGTACGGGCGTTGTAGGGGAGATTATTTTGTGGAGGTCGGGGATTATACTGAGCTTGGTGAGGAGGTTGATTTCTTGGAAATTGAGCTCGCTTTTGGTGGAATTGTTGTTGTGGCCTAATATACGGTTGTGCATTCATTACTGTGTAGGGCTGAAGGTTCATAGCATAGGTCGCATGTTGATGGGGGTAGTAGTGTTGCGGGGCTCTTTCAGAGAAATGGAATCTGGACGGAAGGGGTTTTCTTACACGCGAAGTTGCCATTGTTGCTTCTTCCTTCTTCTTTCGGTTTGTTCCTCCTCCAGACCCGCCTTGGATTGCTTGGGAGGTGGCCCTTATAGCAGACTGACTCAAGATTCGCCCTGTTTTTAACCCATTCTCCACCATTTCACCGATTTTGATGGCTTCAGCAAACGGCTTTCCCAATGCAGACATCATGTTTTGATAATAATCAGCCTCTTGGGCTTGAAGGAAAACACTGACCATTTCAGTTTCATCCATCGGAGGTTTGACTCTGGCCGCTTGTTCGCGCCATTTGACAGCATATTCTCGGAAGCTCTCCGAAGGCTTCTTCTTTAGATTCGACAATGAATTCCTGTCGGGGGCAATGTCGATGTTATATTGAAACTGCCTGACAAAATCTCGAGCCAAGTCGTCCCAAACGTGCCAACGAGATACTTCCTGATCTATATACCATTCAGAAGCAATGCCGATCAAAGTTTCTCCAAAGTAAGCCATAAGAAGCTCTTCTTTTCCGCCTGCTCCCCGCAACTGGTTGCAGTACCTTTTGAGATGGGCTATGGGGTCCATGTGCCCGTCATATTTCTCAAACTTTGGGGTTTTGAATCCCAAGGGCAAATGTACGTGCGGGAACATGCACAGGTCAGCGTAAGACATGCTCCTTTGCCCGCTCAGACCCTGTATATTTTTGAGAGTTTGCTTCATGCTTCTCATTTTCCTAGTCATTTCCTCTTGTTCAGGTGTTTTCTCGGCTTTCTCCTGCCCTGCGATAAACTCGTATCGAGACGGCAGAGGGTAAGCGTCGGTAGTGAACTGGCTAGGTTCCAATGGAAGAGGCGGTGCTTGAAATGTGAAGGATGATGAATCGAAGTTAGGCCTGGGTAAAACAGGTTGTGCCGTGGCTGAACAAGGTGGAGCAGTGAATATGTTTGAAACCGCACCGGAAGCTAACACCTGAGGGCGAGACTCAGAAGGTGTTCCAGTAAAGTAGGCTGAGGTGGTAGGAAATCCCAGTGGGGTATTTGTATAGCTTATGGGTGTGTTGGAGGTCCCACTTGCCCTAGGAAAAAGCTCAGGGAATCCAGGGATCGCACTTGGTGGCTCTTTTCCATTGGCCCAGGTGTCCCACATTTCCATCATGCGGAGACGTAGAATTCTATTTTCCTCGACCGTTGCTGACTCAGAAGTTGGGATGGCTGTGATTGAACTTTCCTCCGAAATAGGAATCGTTGGCAGAGGAACTTCTGAAGACATTTTGACACTTCCTTTCGATCTTGTGAAGTAAGTGTGAGTACCCCCTCTTGTCTTAACAACAGGTATTTGAACACTCCCTTTCGACCTCGTGAAGTGTGAATGTGAGGCCAGACTTTCACCAAACCAACCCCCTTTTCTGAAACCTGGAAATGACTCAACGACGAACGAACGGTTAGTTCGAAACAAATAACAGATAGGTAGTCTCACGTTGGGGCATGATGCACCTATACAGTTAAGTGAATTCCTACATGTTTGCAACGAAGGCGTGCGTCATTCCGGCTTCTTTTTAGGCTTCCCCTTTTATTTTATTATTATTTTTTATTATTATTTTTTTTTATTATTACTGTTTTCAATATTTGCAGTTAAAATGTGACCGGATCCGATGAGGATTGCCTACGTATCACGATGCAGCGTGAATCAGATCATTACATAGTTCGAAAAATATGGGTGTAAAAGAAGCACACATTTTATTACTGAAAATAATCTATTACAACCAACATTTGGAACAAGGAAAAACAACAAACCTTGAAAGTAAATACAGACTCAAACAAACTAATGCATCCTGATGCGAAGGGATGGACAGAAAATGCTAAAACACAGACTCGACCTATGAATATATTAAGGTTTCAAAAATTGGTGTCCGCGGGGCATCGTTCGGCCTTGCCGCGGTCCTAGGTGCGATATCCCTTTCAAGTTGTTCTATCTCATGCATGGTCTGCTTGACATAACCCATCACTGCCGAGAGAACGGTAATGTTGGTCATGTTCTCACACCATAGACACCGTCTGATGATGGCGTGGGCAATGGTCCTGATTTTATCTCTGGTTTGCTTCTTCTCTATGAGCAGGCGTTTTATCTGATCACTGCATGTTTTTAAAACCTGAGAATCCTGCATATGCTGATTCTTCAGTTGCCGCACTTCTACCTTCATTTGGGCCAACAAGTCGTAACAGTATCTGCTCTCCATTTGGAAATCCTCGGCCCGCTTAACTACTTTAACCTCAAGTGTAGCCATCTCTCTCTTCATTTTGGCAACAGTTTTCTCGTGGTCGCGTTTCAATTGACTCAAGTATCGGCGATGCTTATCTGCTCTTGTACCCCACTGTTCCCTGAGCTCTGCCATGACGTTTTCAGACTCTTCTAAACCATCTCGCCATTCCCTGACTTCACTTTTCAACCCTTTTATCAACTGCTCGTCTGATCGACTCATTGGTTGTTCATCAAGAGCCAATCTCAATTTATGGATTTGGGCCCTAAGCTCTCCATTTTCTTGGGCCAATCTATTCTTTTCGCCTCGATCCGCAGCGATTTGCATACTGTTATTGAATTTCAGACTGTCAACCTGTTGCTTCAAATCCCCGATCTCTGCCCGATACCCCTTTTCCCTTTCTAACCAGTTCCATTGCTCTTGGGATGACTCAACGAAATCTTTGAGATGAAGTCTCTTAGCTAGTCTCTCGCAGGACATGTCACCTCTAAACCAAGCATGATACCCCGAGGCAACTTCCCCTTTAGCCGTATCCATCACACAAGTGTTTGCTGTCAGATGTTGGCACTCACTCCAGATTTGGCGAACTTCTTTTTCGGGGAAATGACCGTCCGGACTGATTTCAATCACTTGGGTACTCAAGTCTTCATCTTTCGGCACTACTTGATACCTCCCAAGTTGCCTCAAAACCCGATACGGTGCATAGGGTTGGATGCTTTTAAGTCCCATTAACAGAAAGTGGGGCCTGGTTGCCGGCATATATATGATTTCCTCAACAAGAAACCATCCGAGCGTCCACTGGATTTAGTCGGTAGTGAGAGCTCGGAAAAATGAAGTCCATGTCGTGACTCCCTCGGGTAGACTGAACCCTTTGATCCTTGTGTAGAATTCTCCAATACAAGTCTTCTCGGGCGAACCGTAACCCAAGAGCGGAGAGCGGTGGCATAAATGATCGGTCACCCACATTTGCAACAATAGGTTACATCCTTCGAAAAAGTCGCCCCTAGCTCGGCAAGCAGTGAGAGCCCGGAAGATGTCAGCCACAATCATAGGCGCCAGAGTACTTTTATCTTGGGTGAGCAGGGTACTGACGACCCCAACCACTTTTAGATCAATGTTTCCGTCTTTTCTTGGGAACACTATAAGACCCAAAAAGGCTGTCATAAAAGCTACCAGCCTGTGTTCGTCCCACTTTTGTCGGTTGCCTCTACTGCATAGTTTGAAGTCTGGCTTATTGAACCCGCCCACGTGGCCGTATCTAGCATATATGAGGTGGAGACTGCAGAAACCTTTGGCAAGATCTGGATGGTGAAATGTTCGGGGTATTTTAGGAAATCCAGAAAACGGTGTACCGTGACGGCCCTAGGTACAATCAAGTATTTGAACCTTAACGGAGCTTCATCACCTCCGATGTATCCCGCTATTTCTTCCAATGTCGGGGTAAGTTCAAAGTCCGAGAAATGAAATACATTGCGTGCTGAATCCCAGCAAGTGACCAATGATCTGATAATATCACCCCGAGGCTGAATGTCTAGTAAATCCGGGAGATCTTTCAGATATTTCTTTACTTTGTCTTGCCCCTCCTTGCCTAAGTCGTTCCACCATAATCGCAACTCAAAAGGGATCTTGGTCATTATTGAAAAGGGTTCGTTTTGTATCGTGCTCATCCTGCACATTTATTAGGGTGGTTAGACTCAAAATAAAACTATCTATGTTCTTTTCCAAGATTTTTTTCAAAACGACGAACTTGATTTTCAAATGCGGCCTTTTAGCACTTCGAGAACGAAGACTTTTAAGGCTGCGAGGATTAACCGATCAAAAATGATGACCAAAGGTGGCCGTTTATGCAATGTCAGCCTTCCGGCGTCCCGCTTGAGAACGNTTCAAAGTCCGAGAAATGAAATACAGTGCGTGCTGAATCCCAGCAAGTGACCAATGATCTGATAATATCACCCCGAGGCTGAATGTCTAGTAAATCCGTGAGATCTTTCAGATATTTCTTTACTTTGTCTTGTCCCTCCTTGCCTAAGTCGTTCCACCATAATCGCAACTCAAAAGGGATCTTGGTCATTATTGAAAAGGGTTCGTTTTGTATCGTGCTCATCCTGCACATTTATTAGGGTGATTAGACTCAAAATAAAACTATCTATGTTCTTTTCCAAGATTTTTTTCAAAACGACGAACTTGATTTTCAAATGCGGCCTTTTAGCACTTCGAGAACAAAGACTTTTAAGGCTGCGAGGATTAACCGATCAAAAATGATGACCAAAGGTGGCCGTTTATGCAATGTCAGCCTTCTGGCGTCCCGCTTGAGAACATTCGGCTATTTTTACAGAAACGGCGTCACCCGACTCTTTATAAAAGTGGCAACATTTAGTCTTTTTTTCTTTGCAAAATGGGAGGTTGGACCCGATGAGAGTTGCCTACGTATCTCACACCCTGTGAGAATCAAACCGGCCTAGTTCGGTCAATCGTGAATAGAGTAAATCAATTAAACCCCTTCTGAATACAATCTTTTAAAGCAAGAATATTTATAAAAGAGATACTACCAAAGAAATAAAAATTTTGAATTTTTTTTTTTTTGAATTTTCCCTTTTTTTTTATTTTTAAATTTTTGAAAGTGATTAAAAGAAATGTTTTTTTTTTAATTTTTTTTATATATATATGTTGTTTTTTTTTAAATAAATCAAACTAAAAGACAAATTTTGTTTTCATTTTCTCTTTTTCTTTTTTTTTTAAGAAAATTCTGGCGAGATTTTGACACTACTTGGACATTGGTTTTATTTTTCCAAAAATAAGTAATTATCTCCCTACGCTGTTATTTTCTTTTTCTTTTTTTTTTAAGAAAATTCTGGCGAGATTTTGACACTACTTGGACATTGGTTTTATTTTTCCAAAAATAAGTAATTATCTCCCTACGCTGTTATTTTCTTTTTCTTTTTTTTTTTAAAGTTTTTTTTTTTAGAAACCGGTCAGCATGCAGAACTGAAGCAAATAAATGCGCAAAACAAACGGGATGCAGCAGGATGGTCTTTTCATTTCAGGTTGCCTGTCCTAGACGGACCCAACCCCTGTGTTGAGTCCCCTATGTCAAATGCAACATGATGCAAATAAGCGTTCCTACTAGGGATCCGACATGAGGTTTTGTTATACTAGGTTTATAAGCTGAGTGTATGTTCTAGACTGTGTACCCGAGAGGACAACTCGAGTCGATGAAGGGGCAACTTATCGGAACCAAAAGGCCATCCGGCTTCGTAACTTGTCCGGCCTCTTTCTTATTTCAGGTATTGACACTAACAGAATAGGGAGCCTCGACCAGCGAGCTTCTCCCCGGAGGTAAGAAGAGAAGGGTTTCGGCACAGTCTATATACAGTTGAAATAATATCAAAGCGGTAAAAGACAACATTTAGCACGTTATGCCAAGACATGTAATAAAGATCAGATAATAAAGCCAAATATAACAATTATTCTAAGCTCGAATTCT